CCCGTGTGTTAACCTTAAAAGAATCTTGAACTAGGATTCCTAAGTCCTTTGTCTTCGGATTTCTGAAGCCTACATAGATAAAAGTGTTGCTTTTGTTGAACATTTGTACACAGCAGATACAGTTATAATGCATATTGTATGCAATAATTTAATAATTGTTTTCCGTATAAATTCTAATGCCAGATCAGTGTAACCTTTCATAGATCAGTAACTGATGTATTATTGCAGATGTGTGAGCCTACATTTTTATGAATTGAACTGCAACTTGTTATTCTAGCCCGGTAATACCTTCCTTCTCCTTGGTTCTCCCTAGAAGTTTGCTACTCTTAATCTATGCCACCAACTTAACCCTCCCTGCTTGGGACCCAACTGCTGGATGGTGCCATCAAGATCTTGGAAATTAGTGAGATGCCTCTGGAGGCCATAGCTTGCTCAAAGCATCCACATTCGGGTTAAGGTTCAGCCACAATGCTTTGAGAGTGTCTATTCATAGAGGCTGGTGTTCAATTAAATTGAGTTGACAAGAAAATGAGCTGATGAAAGTTAGATCCTTGCTAGACAACACCAATCAGAGCTGAAGTGCCAAGGGCTGTGCCAGCAGGTGTGACTTGCACATTATATTTCTTGACACAGGTTTTGACATGACTTGTACAAAGTAATGAGTTTCTACAGACTCAGGACTTATGCTGAGATGACAAGGATTGATTTATGTGCTGTTCTCTCAACTCCAGATACTTAGACTGGCAGGAGGCACATGCATTCATTGTCCAATCACTATCATTGTCGGGTATCAGTAGAGATGGTGCAAATGAAACCATTATGTTTTCAATAGCTGCACCGGAAGATTTCAGCGCAATATTTGTATCACTTCACATGTACGCTTGATACAAAATGTCAGAGAGCTTTTTGTATTGGATACTCATGTTGCTGAAACCTGGCTGGATATCCACAATCATCGTTGGGTTCAAACTCAGGTGAGGGCTCACAATAAGAGTCATGTGCTCAGACAATGAGGCAAGTCTCTGGGCTTTCCAGGAAATGTTGACATTTTTTGAAGGGATGGCTGGAGTGGAGCTAGCAAGTGACATGCTTCCAATTACCTGGTTTTAAAGCTCATTGAAGAGCTTGTTAACAGACTGGAGAGTGGCAGAATCAGATTTTCAGTGCTAATAATAGGAAGAATGATTGGTTTTCGGCTTGGGCTGAGGGGAATGCAGCTAAAAGCTTGTCTTTAAACACAGTATTAAGAAGAGAGGCTTGCGGTGCAGTGGTAGTGTCCTTACCTCTGGGCCAGAAGGCCCAGGTTTAAGTCCCACCTCAGCATGTGTTTGCAATGGGGATACGTCATAAGACATCCAAATAGACTGATTGAGGTGCTCATACACTGGTATCAAGTTGACATTGTCTGAGCAGAGTAGTTTCAGTTACTGAATGTAAGGGTATTGCTGGCCCTCTATTTTCCTTCCTGCTCTATTCTTTCAGACACTGCAAGGCCAGGCATGACTGCGAATTGTTTTCCACAGTCATGAGGTCCCACTTACGTTGCTATGCCATTGCATTAATGCTCAATGTGCAGCTCTGCCACATCCAGGTAAAATCCAAAATTAAATTGGTTAACTAGGTAAACATGGTTTTAAGAAAATGAATCCTTTCCACTCTTGTGAAACCCTTAACTTTATTCTGTGGATGTGGAAAAGTGTGGGAGGATATATTTTCAATTTCAACCACCAGATTATTTCTGTATGATGAGCCCACACCTCATCAGGGCTTCCACTGCCAATAACTGGGCAAGCTCAGCTTTGGGTCAATTTGGATCTTTGCCTTTAATAATCATACCATATCATTGACATTGAGGTGTGGGCTCAATATGTAGAAATAATCTGGTGGTTGAAATTGAAAATATATCCTCCCTCACTTTTCCACACTCACAGAATAAATTTAAAGGATTCACAAGGGTGGAAAGGACTCATTTTCTTAAAACCGTGTTTACCTGGTTAAACTAATTTAATTTTGGATTTTACCAGGATGTGGCAGACCTGCACATTGAGCACTTATGCAATGGCGTAGCGATGTAAGTGCAGCTCTAATTTCACAAGACTATAAAAATGTTGAATCATTCATCATGCCTGCATGGCTTAGCAGAGTAGCATAGCGGCAAAGTGTACTGCAGCATTGCACTGAAGAATATCTCACTGCAATTCTGCTCACTATTTGAGAGACTTTTCCAGAGCTTTATGAACATAGAAAAAGCAAAAGGCAAATACTTTATGTCTTCTCAGATATTGGTAAATGAATCAGTGGAGATGCTATGTTGGACTGTCTTTATATAGTGCTGATGGCATTGCCAAATGCTATGCCCACAGCTTGACAACACAAAAACTGAAGAGGAACGGAAGGGGAGAAAGGAAGCCATTAGAAAGAAAAACCCTATTTGTGACACACACCACTAACAGCAGTAATATGGAAAATCAAGCAATTTAAATATATATTGCAAAATGTATTCGAGTGATGAGCTTAGAAACATGGAAATAGGACTATGCCATTCAGCTCCACAAGCTTGGTTCCCCCATTCAATAAAATCATACCTGATCTACCGCTCAGCTCCATTTAATCCATGTTTGCTACACGCTGCTTGGTATCCTTAAAACACTGTCTATCCCAGTCCTGAAAATATAACTGGTCCAGCATCTGTAGCCTTTTGAAGGAAGAGTGCTCCAAATTGCTATTTCTTTTGGCAGGGTGGAGAGGAAATCTTTAGTTGTGAACGAATTGTCATTATTCTGAAATATTAACTCTGTTCCCCTCTCCAGACCTGGGCTTCATGCCAGGAGAAGGAGCAGGATATGCAGGTTCAATACTAGGGATGGAGGGCATCCAAAGAGATATTTACTGTATCCAATTTAAGTGGATTAAAGTGATATTTTATGTGCCCAGTTTTCGTGGCATTTTTTTTTGCATTTTCTTTTACAGGTTGCAATCTAAGAGAGCCAGTGGTGAGAGTATGATATTAGGATGGAAGTGGGTTGAGGGAATACTGGTTCCGGTAGCTTCAGACACAGAGACAGTCTCTCTCCACAAGTCCTGCCAAACTGCTGCACATTTCTAGCATCTCCTTTGTGAGTTCAGTCCTAAAATGTGAAAACATTCATCTAGATAGGATCCGATCACAGTTTCATACAACTGAAACATCACTTCCACCTCTTCCTATTCCAATTCCCTTAAGGTCAAGGTCAATATTCCATTAATCTTTTTGATTATGTTTTGCACCTATGCAGTAGTTGTAGGTGATATGTTTACAGAGATACCTAAAGCCCGTTGTTGCCTCACAGCACCTGGTCTATCATGATTAAACATATTCTGATTTGTTTTTCTCAGAGCCAACGTGGATGACCTTACTTATTCCTACATTGAACTGTATCTGCCACACATGTTCCATTGCAATTTCCTGCTCTCAGTTGCACTGCTCTTAACTTACACACAACTTTCTAATTTTTTACCCAGGTTGTTGATATTGATGGCAAAAAGCTGAAGCTCCAGCACATATTCCTGGAGAAATTCACTTGTCACATCCCCTACTCTTCTTCAACTAGTGCCATGGGATCATTTATGCCCACCTGAAATTCAGTTTAATGTACAACACAAAATCTATGCTCAATTTTTTGGTTAATTAATACATTTGCAGGGAACAATTCATGGCTGTATGTCAAAATCTAATTAAAAACTGCTTGCAACTATACAAGTGCACACCCATGAAAAATCATGAATACAAATGAACTGTCTGCAATGAAAATAAACCCTTGCACTGAACTTCAAAGAAAAGAACAGTTCAGCATCAAAGTCAATTTTAAACATTTGCAACGACTTTCCTTTTCTGATTTGTGGTCATAATCCTTTAAAATGTTGCAGCTTTTCAAAATGTACCCAAAGTCAACCATAGCCCAAAAACCAGACCTTAAGATAACTCACACTTAACATTGTAACCATTCCTGCATTCTATTTTATAGCATCTACTTACATCCATGGGGATATTCCATGCAATATAAACATGGGATTTGTAATCATCCATCCATACTTCAGCCACCCGGAGTGAATTTCTCTTTGTGTAGAACCCAATATCAGTGTTGTACGGTTTCTTCATGCGTTCTATGTGAGCCACCCGAGAACAAGGTAGCACTTCCATACTTCCACCACATAGCCAGACCTGAAACATTAAATAAGGGAAAGGAGGTGAGTCTGAAATACACACAGCCATTTATTGCAGATATTGCAAGGAATTATCTGGAAATTGTTGAAGATAAAGTGGATCGTTTCAAATGCTGTAGGGAAGCTCATGTCATCAAAATTACCATTTTGAGAGTGATGTCTAGTCAGTGAGGAGAATTTGAAACCTCACCCCTCCCCCTCTGAGTTGGAAACAGAGCAATCAAGCTATTAAAATGGAGTGGCTCCATTTGCTTTTTGTTGCCATCTGATTGTATGACTGTTGGTTTTGACAGAGAGGGTGAGGCATTTGCTGGACTCTGGTGGGAGTTTCCTGTATTAATGCAAATCAGCATTCAATGGAGTTTTTGCCCATAAGGTATTTGACAGTAGCATGAATTGGGAAGTCAATTCAACTTTCCTCTCAAATTCAAACAGGTCACTGTCCATGGGAAGCATGAAGAATGTAAGCTGTGAAGTCAAAAAAAATTCCTTATTTGAGGTTGGAGAAGCAACAGCTCCCTTTAGATCCTGTGTGGAAATGAGTGCATTCACCAGTTGTGGTCTCCCCCTGCCCTGACCCATAAGAGGCAGTGATCATCTGATCTTTGCCTGCTTCCATCCAGTCTGCACACTCTTCAAGCCTGGAAAGGGAAGAATGTCCCATGACAATTAAATTAGGCCTAAGAGTTACAATGATTGACCTGGTTTAAATTTGTTGAGAGGTAATGTTGTGTTTTAGACCTGGGAGATGTGCAGAGATGGCATACCAGGTTCTATACATGATAAGAGTTTTATTTGCCCTGCTCTAAAGTGCCCACTTTCTGCTCTCCTCTTGTCTCAGTTTTGTTTCTCTTTCCCAGTCACCATGCCCAGATTTAACTAATTACACACAGTGAATAGAGAACAGATACCAAACACTACAGGCAGGAGACTTGGACTAGGGATAAACAAGGCAATATACTAAATGATTAATGGTGTCCTGTAGGATCTGTGTTTGCACCCCCAACTCTTCACTGAATTCATTAGTGACTCAGATGATAGCATCAAACGCCAATCAATATGCAAATTTACTGAAAGCGCACATGGTTAGCACCGTGCAGATAGGATCAAGCAATGACAAAGAGATACTAAAAGACTGAATGAAAACTGAAGCAAATGGATGTTAGTATTGACAAGTGTGAGACCATCCTCTTTAAAGCTATAAGGGAGAGATCAGGGTACATTGTTAAATGGGGAAATGCAAGAACTCATTGAGGTTCCATGAGACTTAGGGATTGACAGAATAGATCATCAGAGAGTCATGGATAGGTACAGAAAATAAACAAAAGCTAAGAGACTGATTTATTTTCCAGAGCACTAGAATACAAAGGTGTAGAAGTTATGTTGCAGCCATAGAAAGCCAAAGTTAGATCTCACATGGAGTGTCATGGTCAGTTTAGACACTACTTTGGGAAGGATATTTTGCTCAGGATGGAGTGCACTGTGAATATACCTGTGAATAGATTGACAAGAGTTAAATTGCAAAGGAGCTTACACAGCTCAGGGCTACATTTTCTTGGCTTGGAAGGTTAAGGTCAGATTTGAACAAATTTTTCAGGGAAATAACGGTAGATAGAGAGAAAAGATTGCAGTTGGCTGGTGAATCTATATGGGGTCATCATCCAAAAAATTAGAGCCAGGTCTTCCAGGAATTAAGTTAGGAATCTCTCTTTTGTGCTGACAATTTCAAAAGGTTCTAAAAGCTTGGACTGTCCTTCAAAACGGCATTGATGCTAGACCAATTATTAATATTAAGAATGAGATTGATAGATTTCTGTGAACCAAAGATATTAAGGGCAAAGGCAGATATATGGAATTAGGCTGCAGATCAGCCATGATATCGTCAATTGGTGGAATAGGCTGGAAGGGATAAATTGCCTCCTCCTATTTCTATGCTCCTGCAACAAATGTGAGTGACGATCAAGCATTCATCATTCCTCCTAAACCAAAAACCACTCTGGGATAAAATCACCACCAAGATGTGAAAACATTTTTATGATATCAGTTGTGTGAGAAGCAAAGAAAAACTATAGCTGCTAGTGACATCTTAAGAGTGAACATCAGATTTTTTGGAGGAGGATAATTTGTATTCATTATGTCTTGAGTTCTCCATTGTAAACTTTGCAATAAACTCTAATTGGGATACCTGTATATTTAATGTGCTCGCCAGTTCCACTTGTAGCTTAGAGTCAATTGTTATAATTGAGTGGGTCGCTTCTAACTTTGGTCATTAAATGAAAATGATAGTTCCTAATAGAAAATGTTGCTATCTCCCAATAAAATTTTCATCATCATACACTTCATTCACAATTCGTATCATTTTTGATCTTTATAGTAATTTAATATCATAACAAATAGTGGGTTTATAGCTTACTTTGCCATTGTACTTTGCAATTGGAAATTAACTCTGCTGTAACATAGCTGATGCGTTATTACTGCTGGGTCAACATTATGAAATCCCCTATGTAACACCAACATCATCGAAATGACTATAACAGTTCGAAGAGAAGATTCGTGTTCCACTTTTCAGAATTACCAGAGAAAGATAAAACATCAAACCTTGATAAAATCCCTCCACACCTTGTACTTCTGTGGTCGTGTTCTGTTGGAGTACTACTCTGCATTTTTATTTTTCCTGCAACAGTGACCAATTTTACATTTTTCACATTATATTTTATCTGCCAGATTTTTGCTCGTCGCTCAACCTATCTATCCATTTGCAACTTCCTTATTTCCAATATCATCAGGACCTTCCAGGCAAAAACAGAAACCAACCTGTGCACAGCAAGGTCTCTCAAACAGCAATGAAATGAATCTGTAGCTAATTTGTTAATAATTGAGGGATGAGTATTGATGAGAACGCCGGAAAACCTCCATCTTTAATGAAGTTCCAAGAGATCACTTACGGTCACCTGAATTTTAAGACAATGTTTTAATATAATGTCACAATGGTTAAGATTCTGTCTTCAACAATGCAGCATCCCACTTGTCACGGTTCACTGAGGCAATGCTCTGGAAATCAAGCCCTATTATCCCTGGAGTCATCACAAAAATTAAAGGTTTTCTCAAGGTATGCGAAGTTCTTCAATTTACCTGTCTGTTTAGGCCCAAGCAGATAGAACCAGGTTTCTGTATTTAACACAAATTACTATTTATTACAAGTAAATAGATTCCAGCTATAGGTAAACAACTATGACATAACTCTACCGGTTTAAACCTTAACTCCCTTATCGAACTCCCCCTACAGACAGACAGAAACATTAACGTTATGGGGGAAGAGAAAAACTAGGAAAACAGTTCAATGGCTCCTGCCCACAGGGTTCACTAAGATGAACCATTTACTTGACAGGACTTGCTGTTCTTCAATCCTTCTCCTCCAGGTACTTTTCAGTTTCTTGCAGGAGGCAGAGAATGACTGTTTCACAAATTATAAAGTCTCTGATTTATTGGCTGAAAGAAACACCTTACAGCAGCTGGTGGGTGAAGATCACTAGCTTTCTTCACATTTCAGGCATGTACTACAACTGATAAACATCACCTCTCCTTCCAGAAGTCCGAAATCTTCTGAACATTTCATTCATACCCACAAGCTGTTCAGCTACCCAAGAGCCAACCATATAGTTATTGGCAGGCACATGGCCTTTGTTGTCCACAACCTCACAAACCAATCAGCTACTTGCTGCCAGCAGAATCTCACATTGCCCACAACCCCTGGTGCCAGGCCATCAGCAACTAAGTTCTGAGAAAGGGTCATCAGACCCGAAACGTTAACTCTGACTTTTTCTTCACAGATCCTGCCAGACCTGCTGAGCTTCTCTAGCAACTTCTGTTTTTGCATCTGCAACTAATATCCTCTCCTGCATAAGAAAAGCTGCAGGGTAAATGCACTTACAATGAGTTTTGATAACTTGCTTTCAAAAATAATTGCAATAATCCTTTTCCCATTCCAGTACACAATCAAAAATGGAAAAATACAAAGATACAGTCACAAATATCATTCCGCAATATTTGCTTAAATATGCAATGAAATTGTAATTCATAATATTTTGATGCCTAGGCAAGAAATAAACTTGAGTAATCATCTTGGACTGTAGTAGTGTCCAGAGTCAGCTCAAATTCATTTCACACTTAGGAATAGGAGGGAAAAGTTTAGGAGTAGAGGTAGGCCAGTCAGCCCATCAAGGATATTCCATAATTCAATGAGATCATGGCTAATCTGATCATCTTCAACTCTACTTTCCTGCCTTTTCTCCCATAATTCCCCATTACCTCTTGATTCCCTTACTTGATGAAAAATCTGTTCTTCTCAGCCTTAAATATACTTAATGCTCCAGGTTTGCCAACCTGATCAGTTTAGCCTCAGCCATCTCAAGGAATGCTCAGCAATGTAGCAATGACCTTCGCCACTCTGCCAGCATTAAGTGCCACCATCTTCTCTCCGATTCCTCACACTCACCTTATGTCTGCTCCTTTACCCGTCTCCCATCAAGGCTCAGCCTCTGCAATTCTCAGTATTGTCGCATCTCCCCCACTTGCTTTTACCGACTGTAACCCCTACAGCACTAACCCTACACCTTCTCTGAGCTGCCTGCTCATTCATTGGGGACATCTCCCCACCTGCACCAATATCAATTGCTGTGCCTCTCCCCCGCCCCACCCAATATTCATCTCTCTGATTCCAGGAGGAAAGCAACCCACAATAGGGCAGAAAGAGTCAAGATATTTGGCTCCTCATCTCATGCAGGTAGCATCCAGGCTACCCTGAGTTACTGACTGATCCTGTCCAAGCCTGGACTGGTATCGGAGGGCACCCTTGTCTGACTGTGCCAGGACCTCCAGACTATAATGTGTCTCACCTGACTTGACAGAGGACTGTGGCAACCATGATAAGATTCCTAGCTTTGTGCCTGTGCAAAACGGCAAGGCAAGACCGAAATAACGTGAGCCATGCATCACTGG